ATATGAGGACTAAAATTCAAATTTCATATAAGTAAGGACCATTTGTATAATTTAATAATTGATTTCATTTATCCAAGTTGTTACATTAGAAAAATGAACTCCTATGTCATTAAGTCAATGGGCAACTAAGCATTTTTAATGGCAAAAATTTGACAAAAATAGTTATTGAACTAAGACTATCAAATTGAAATAATATGATGACTATATTTGTTTGAATTACTGTAAAAAAAATTTTAAATTTAATAAATTACAAAGACTTTGTGCATAATTTGAACCTTTTTATTATATCTACAACTAAAAACTAATGAAAACTAGTTTTAAACCCCATGTTATGCATGAGGCAAGCAATTTTTTTGTTATATATTATTATTTATAAAAAAAATTAAAATATTTTATTTAAAAAACTTATTTTTATAAAAAACTATATTTTCTTGATTTTTTGTTGTTAAAAATATAATTTTAATAATATGAGTAGTATATCATATATATAATGGTATTCTAAAAAACTTAAACCTATAATATATAGACTAAGATTATTAATTTGGTTCATAAATTAACTGGTTGTTACTCATCAAATAAATTAAGATTATTAATCATCAAGCAAATTATGGGAAAATATTTGTTAATCCTCATAACATATTTTCTCAAACTTGTATTTTGGATCATTCATTTATATAAAATTTTCCTAAACCATTTAACCAAAAACCTTTTTATTAACGAATACATTAGTAACTCTTATGTTGCAAAGATAATTTAATCAATAGCAATATGCCTTCCAAAAAGAGGTCACAAACTTGAATTCAAACTAACCATTATGAAATTGTCAACAAAAACAATCCTAACATAAGTGAAAGCAATCAACATATTACATTTAAAAAATTTACTACATATTTAACTGGTTCATGCAACACAGACTAATATCATTTTGTTAGAAGCAAAGGCAGATTTACATATGGAATTGTGGGGGTAGCTGACCCCACTGAGATACTAAAATTTCTTAGATTTATTATAAAAAATTCTCAAAAATTTCAAGCTTTGCGCCCACTAAAAATTTGCCCCCAATTGAATTGAGGATCATATTTGCCACCCAATACTTTGGGTGATAAGCAATTTCATTATAATATGCATTGATTTTGAAGAAAAACAAATAAAGAACTTCTAGAGTTCATATAGATAAACTATAAAGTATGAATTAATTAGAATAAAAAGTAAAAAAACAATCTTTAATTAACATAAATTTATGACTTCATTCTTGTTTCTATTATTTTCATTATATATGAGAAAATAAGCATTTGTTATTCTTCACATTATAATGAATAAAAAATGAAAGTAAATAATAAAACTGAAAATTTTGATTTTTATTCTTTCACATATTATATCTATATTTAAGAATTTTATAAATAAAATTTTATTAAATAAATATATATACATATTTATATGTGTGCGTGTGTCAAAAAATGATTTATCTTTGGTATAATATTGTTTAAGCTATATTTGTCAATAACCATGTAATTAATTTTAGCTATGCAAATATTGCATCTATGGCATAAAAAATTATATTTTATAGAAAAAAATTGTTATACATGTTAATTTGTTTAGAATTTTTAATATTATTCAATGAAAAATTTAATAAGTTGAGTTAAAATACTTGCTCCCACTAATAAAAAATTTTGGATTCGTCCTTGGTTAGAAGTAAAGATGTTGGCAAGCTTATTATGCACAAACAAGTTATAAAAATAGCAACTTTTACCATGTATACACCTAAATTCTTAAAATAACTCTAAATATATTTTAAATTTCAAGAACCAAGATAATAATGAATAGTTGAACAAAAAATAAATATAGTAATTAGAAAAAAAACGCTTCATTTTAGAATAATTGATTTTCAAGAAAGGTTTGGTGATATCTAATTCAATAATCAACTGCAAAATATCAAACCAAACAATTCAAATCTCATATTTATGAAATATAATATTGTAACACATAACATATTTAAAATTTAATGCAAAATGCGTATTCCAAACTTAAAAGAATCTGTTCTCAAAGTGTTTTTTAAACAAATAATTATATGATTATAATGAAGCATGCATATGAAAGATCTTAACACATAAAATATAGTAATCCAAATAATACAAAAACAAATATAAAGTGATAAAACTTTAACAGTAGTTGACTTTATTAACTTTTGTGTATCTAATCCATCTGTGTACAACATCATAAAGGAAAAAAAAAAAAAAAAAGCTACCTTTACTCCATGGCAAAAAGAGTATCATTTCTTGAAATTTTTTTTAATGGTGCAATTTATTTCTTAAGCATCCCAAAAATTTCTCACTTACATAGGAAAGGTCTTGAAACTAATTATGGAATGATTTATAACTTTTGAATGATTAATTGATTAAAATAAAATTAAGAATCAAATTAAGAGTAATTTATACTTGACAATTAAAATATTCAAACATAATGTGTATTTAATATATTTGAGAAAAATGAAAAGAGAGATTCTGGAAAATAGTGTAATAATGATAAATGAAATTAATTTGATTGACATATCAAATTTAATTTTAATTAATTTGATTATTTATTAATCATTTTAAAATCAAAATATTAAAAGTATATACATAGCTTAAAAGATGGAGCCTAACAACTTATATTTTTAAAAATTGGAAAGTTGTATTTTTTTCAATAAATGTAATTTGAGAGTTGAACAACATATAAAAACCTTTGAGCAACAGAGATCAAGGAATGATTTAAAGTAAAAATTGGAGTGGATATTGGACTGTCATAAAAAAATATAAAATTAGTGAAGGTGATTAAAATTGTGTTAATTGTCAAAATAAAAAATTTGGAATTATATATATAAAAGGTTTGTTGTAGGTTAATTAATAAGGCAACTTTAAAATGATGAAAGTGAATATTGAAATAATAAATATTGTGAGTGAATGGTGGTCAAATAATATCCAGTTGAAAATTGAGAGTGCAATAATTTATTTCATTAACTTAATAATGAAAAATTAATTAAATAATTTGTTTTCTATATTTACACATAGGTTACATCAATTATTCGGTTAGATATCATACTTAATCAAACATTATTATATCAAATAATTGATTAAAGAGTCAACTCTTATGTTACATTCATATGTAAAATGTAAGTTAAAAGAAATTTTGAAAGAAAATAAATATAATTAATGCATTGAAATGTTTTTAAATTTATATGAAATTAAAAAAAAACTAATTAAATGCAAGACACATGGTGATTATTTAAGATTGTTCACATGTCAAAATAATATACTATACACATTGGATTTTTTCCTTTTCGCCAAAGGCTTTGGCTTTTATATATATTTATATAAGATTTATATAAAATGTCATAAAATATAAAATTAGTAAATGGTGATTAAAATTGTGTTATTTGTTAAAATAAAAAAAAAATTGGAGTTATATATACATAAGGTTTGTTGTAGATTAATTAATAAGGCAACTTTAAAATGATGAAGTAAATATTGAAATAATAAATATTGTGAGTAAATGGTGGTCAAATAATATCCAATTGAAAATTGAGAGTGAAATAATTTATTTCATTAACTTAATAATGAAAAATTAATTAAATATATTTGTTTTCTATATTTACATATAGGTTAAATCAATTATTCGGTTAGATATCATACTTAATTAAACATGATTATATCAAATAATTGATTAATGAGTCAACTTATATTACATACAATATGTATAAAGGTAAGTTAAAAGAAATTTTGAAAAGAAATAAATATAATTAATGTATTGAAATATTTTAACATTTATATGAAATCAAATAATACTAATTAAATGCAAGACATATGATTATTTAAGATCGTCCATGTGTCAAAATAATATGCCATACGTAGTGGATTTTTTTCCTTTTTACAAAAGGCTTTGGATTTTATATATTTATATAATATATGAAATCAAATAAAACTAATTAAATGCAAGACATATGATTATTATATAAGATATTCATGTGTCAAAATAATATACTATACACGTTGGATTTTTTTCCTTTTTTATCAAAAATTTTGACTTTTATATATTTATATAAAATATAAGATAAAACTTTAAGGTTATGTTTAATGCATACGATTACTTATAGGTAGGATAATAATTATTTTATATCATATTTAATTTGTATATAAAGAAAAGGATAGAGATTGCAATAAAGATTAATATCCTCTTAATATAGGATTATTCAATTCTCCCCAAGTGGAGAAGATTATTTTTAATTCATGGGATTAAACTTATATGTCTAATTATGCCCTTAAAAAATTATATCAATAATTTAAATTATATAAACTTTGAAAAATGATAATTTTGACAAAGAAATAAAATTTTCTATTATAATCCTTGTATACATCAAATATAAAATAAGTTGACATTATTTTATCTAATCATATTTATAATATTATTTTATGTTATCTTATTATACCTTCTATATCAAACATGACCTAAAATTTTTAAAATATGCCAAAAGCTAGAGGACCGAAAATGATTCAATGATATTAATAGGTTAAACAGAGGAAATGTTTTTCTTTCTTCAAAAAAAATGAAACAAAATTAATCTAATGATTAAATTACAAAATCATACATGTTATTAATAATATCAACCAAATTAAAAATCATTTTTTCCTCTTTGTTTTAGTTCACACAGGAAAATAACCATTTACAAAGGTGAAAAAGACCATGCTGCCCTTAGCCTCCGTCTGCCCCACGAGGTCTCCTCCTCCCATCTCTCGTGCATCTCAATCTGTCTACTAGCACTGTTTAGATCTTACTATTTATACTGCTTTGCTGGCATGGCCCAAGATATACCATCCTCATAGCCACTACTTCTTCATCCAGGATCGATCACATTCAGACGCTCCCATCGATCCATAATACTCTCCCAATTAAATTGTAATTCCAAGGATTCATTAAATGTCGGCTTCTCCAAACCAGCATCTTCCTTTTGTTATAAACTCCTTTACATGTCTAGCTTACTCAGGGAAGAAAGCAGCGGCGCCCTGGAAACCTGTTTTTCTTCAAGTTTTACGGATGCACGCTTTCAGGAAATTCCTGGGAAATATGCTCAAAACCGTGGAGCAATAACTTTTGATGAAATCCCTTTTAAATTTGATGTTTATCCTTCTGCTGTTGTAAAACAGGCCTCAGATTCTACCGCTCTACCCATGGTGGTGGAGCTTGAACGACCCGCCGATCATCAACTACTCACAACAAAAGTGTCAGCGTCGGAGAACAAGAGAAGGAAAGTAGAAACGAAGGTATATTAATGGACGATTATTGTGTTGAATATGTTCTAGACTAATCTTTTTTTTTTATACGTATTAATGCTTGAATTCAGGAAAAAAATTAGTACCTAAATATTTGATATGATATACATTTTTTTTGGGTCAAAATATGATATACATTGATGTCCAGGTAGAAATAGAGAAGAAACGTGAGAAACAACGAAAAAGTGTTGGTGACCTGGAAAAAGCGAAGGAAAGCAGGGTGAAGCCTGGTGTAAAGAATAAGAAGAAAGCTCCTGAGAAGGTACAAACAGATAATTATGCTCATGTCAGAGCCAGGAGAGGTATAGCAGCAGACAAACACAGCCTTTCTGAGAGGGTATAATACCCAATGACATTAATTAACGCTACTCCTGGAAAATATACTTACTCATTGCCAAAAAAAAGAAAAAAAGACCTGAAAATTTAACATGTCAGAAATGAGAAATCCGATCCATCTACGCTTAATAATATGAGCTTTGAAATGGGTTTTCCGGTCAGGAGGGAGAAAATCAGCTCGAGAATGAAGCTGCTGCAATCCCTTGTTCCTGGATGTGACAAGGTGCCATTCTTTGTTAATTCTCTTCAATCTTTCCTTGATGCAAGCCAAATGAATCCATCCTAGATTAAAACCTAGCTATTATTTACCAAGTTCATCCTCATTGATTGATAACTGCTTTCTTTCATTTTTATTTTTTTTTGTTGTTTTTCCTTTTCAACGATACCCATTTTTCAGTCTTAATTTTGATGTTGCTAAACTCTTATCATTATTTCTTAAATTTTGATGCTCATAGACAACTGGCAAGACTCAGATACTGCATGAAATTATTAGATATGTTCAATTCTTACAGCATCGAGTGGAGGTAAATTCTCCAAGTCACAGCTTCTGATGTTACTATTACTAGAGATTATTTTTAACTTTACAATCTAACACCCAACATTTATTATTCCTTCCCAGTCTTTAGCAGCAAAATCTGCTCCGATAGAATCCATTTTCAGTGAATCTGGAAATGGAGTGTGCTTAGTTACTAACACACTCCTTTTCAAGGTAAACCTACGCCTTCATAATTTTTCCCCTTTTGAATTTGCTACACCGGATTTATCATATAGAGGGTTTTCCTCGTAGGTAAAATTTAAGTAGAATTTCTAAAGTAAAGTTTAGTGAAAATTTTAAATGAAAGTGACTAAATAAATGTTAAAATTGAAGATAAAAATAAAAATATAAACTCAATGAAATAAATTTATAATAGGAAAATTAACAAAAACAAACGAGTAATTACGAGATTTAATCGATAATTGATAATCTGTAAAAACTTCATCATAATATTTTTAATTTTTTTTAAGAACATAATAATTTTTAATTAATTCTCATCTAAATATTATATATATATATATATATATATTCAACCCTAAAGAAATAGTTCTGATTAAAAGAAACTCTAATAAAACTTATTTTGTACCTTTTAACAGTTTCCCTTCCAAATTCCAGTAACGAGTTAATGCTAGAGGTTTTTTTTTTTTTTAAATAATATTTTGGAGGAAACTCGTTAAACTTTCTTGATTACTTAGTGTTTAAAGAAAAAAAATCTGGCATTTAATAACAAAAGTAAGCTTCTTCGAACAAAGTACCAATCCGAGATCTTTGAAAAGTAGGTACTTAATGAGAATAACATTTTAAAAAAAAAAGTGTCCTAGAGTCTATGAGTAATCAATAAAAAAGCCACGAGTATTTTAAGTCAATCACATCATTTTCGTTTTGGAGAAAAGGTAAACAAAGTTTTTTTTATAGAAATTTATAAATTTTTTTATTACAAATAATTACATTAAAATTAAAATTGGAAATTGAAATTGAAAGATTAAAAAGTTTAATTAGATAGTTTAAGTGTGTAAAATTTTTAAAAAAATTTAATAAATTTTTTATATTAATATTTTAAGTAAAAATAATAATAAAATTTTTACTGTTAAATAAGTATCGATCAAATTTAAATTATAAATAAAATTTTTAATTTTTTATATATTATTAATTTTGATATTAAATTATATCAATCTATTAATTTAAAATTTTTTATTAAAATTTTTATTATTTTTTTTTAAATTTACCTAAATAACTTCTTATAAGTTTTATGTTCTCGTTCATTAAGTGACATGAGTAAAATGTGCTCCATCTTTAGTTCATCACAAAATGTGAGGCTGACCTTTCTGACCTCATTGTCTTCAAATTAGTAATTTTGCATCGAGTTTAAATTTTATGGCACAGAAATTTAATTTAATTTTATATTGAATTTATTTAATCATTTGTTAATTAATTAATTAATTTAATATTTTTAGTTATACAATATTTGATTATAATTATAATTTTTTTGTACTTATAATTAAAAAAAGTAAAATAAGATCTAACACCCATCCATCATTTTAATAAAATTTCCAGGAATTTTCTAGCTTGGAACAGTCATTGCCTCCCTATCATCTAGAATCCAACTCCACCGACCAGCTTACAGGTTTCACCGCGGCAACACTCAAATCAACTTCCTCGTTACTTCCTGATCAGCCAGAAAGGCACCAGAGATTGAATATCACCACTCAAGTATGTACTTTCGCTATGTTTCATTTTTGAACCAATCATTTCTATTATTATTAATTATTCTCTTAATTAATTAATTAGATTAAAACAAGATGTCATGGGGAAAGGAATTTCAGAATCATAATCTTGTTGACGAGCAGTACTGTGTGTATTAGACAGTACTTTGTCTTCTTTTTAGCTAGAGTCAAAAGCTTTTCTACCAAGCCTTGTAATCTCTTCTACCAGTGTACTTTAATATCATAATAACATACAAATTAATTGTTGTTAATCGCTCTAATAATTAATTTCCTTTTCCTTAATTTTCTTAGCAGGCAATTATATAGACGCAGACAAGCATCAGCTATTTCTGTTGTTAATGCCAAACGGGTGGCCATCACGCCTTGTTTCCATTGGTCCTAGCTCCGAAGGCATAAAGAATGATATTTTGTCATGTCATTAGGAAGAGTTTTCTCCAATCTCTTGTTTTTTTCATTTGATTTGAATTCCATTTTACTATTAGTGTTCAAACTTATTGGAAAAGAAATAAAAAAATAAGATCACATTTATTTTGTGTTTAATTAGATTGGTTTGATATGTATTGGAATATATTTCTTTTGTAAAAAAGAAAAATACTCTATCTATTTCAAACTGTTTGGATATCTTTGACTTTTAAAGAGTTTAAGAAAAAAAAAAAAACTTTAGTGTATTTAATATTAAATTTAATATGTATTTAATATTAAATTTTAATATTTTTTTATAAAATTGAATTTCTATAATTTTAATGTCAAAAACTAAAAAAAATATGAAAAATAATTTTAAACTATAAAAAAAGAGTTTTAAAAATTTTAAAAATATAGTAATAGATTCAAAAAATAATTTTAAATTAGTCCCCTTACAAAGTTTATTTTTATATATAGCAGTAGATTGTTATAACATTTTTGAGAAAATAATTTTAAAAGAAAAATTAATAAAAAAAGAAAAAATAGTTTTTCTTTATTTTTTCAAAGAATAAAAATTATTCTAGAGTGTTAATTATTGGACAAGTCTCGACCAATTACCACCAAATTAAGCTATCAAGGAGCTAATTGCCTAACACTTGTCACTTTAAAAATTGTGCTTTTATTTATGGTAAACTTAAAACACTTATTTTATATAGAGTAAATATGATAATAATAGATGATAGGCATATAACCCTTTCGAAAGTTTATGATATTATTTCTTTTTATAATATAGCTGCTACCAGAAAAATAAAAATAAAAATAAAAATCCCCACTTTTTATTTCCTTAGAAATGGAATCTTCAATCTATCCCTAGCTTTATTACGTTTTGAGGAGAACCGGTCCCAAACTATTAATTATGTAAAGGGTTAAATATATTCATAACTTGATTTCCAAAAAATATGTACATAACTTAAATGAAACGAAACTTAAATTATTTAAAATTATTTGTTCGGTTAAGACGAGTCTATTATTATTATTATTATTATTATTATTATTATTATTATTATTATGCAGTCCTCTCTTTACGTGGGGTGCTGTAATTAAATATATAAATAAATGTGTAATTTGTTTTTGAATTAAAAGTGGAAGTGTTTTTATCACTGAGAACCAAAAAAATCTTGAGGCTAATATAACCAAAAAAAAAAAAGGTAAAATCACAACATTAAGGATAAAAATAGTAATCAATAGATTTTTAATAATAATCAATATAGAATCCGATTCAATAGCAACATTAATAGATATTTAATAATAATCACTATAAAATCCAGCTCATTTCCAAAAATAATTAACAAAAAGCTAAACATATTACCAAAAATAGAAGAATATATCTATGAGAAGAAACATGGAGTGATAAATAGTCAAATTCTCTACTCAAGTCAATGACAGCAGAGCAAGTGTAGCCTCCTTGTACCATATTTTTGTTGAAATATTCTTTTTCCAAATTGCAATTGGAGCTTGCCTACGAATAGATTAAACTACAATTAAATAGTAGGTTGTAGCACCAAATTTATTTAACAAAATGAGTATATGAAACATTGATGAAATATATTAAAAGAAAAAAAATGATAATAACATATTCTTTAAATTTCTTAATTACTATCATTTTACTATTAAATTATCACTCAAATAAGAGAAATTAAACTAATAATTCAAGAAAAAAAAAAAAACATATTTTTAAAAGAATGAAATACCTTAAAATCAAATAATCTAATCTAACACTATTTAATTAATAATTCTTTTATCATTTATTTTATTACTATTTGTTTATTAAAAATTAATATCCCCATTTAAACAAATTTAAATTCCAACCTTTTAAACACCTTTTTTCGTCGCTCCACTGGCCACCAATTCCAACTATGTTCTTTATCTGGTCCTAACCTTTTTCCTCTCTAAAGATCAAGCCCCAAAACAAACTCAAACTGAAAACTTTTCTCTATTTTTTTGGTAATTTTCTGTCATTACTTCTCCCCTTCAAAGCGAATGTGGTTTTTTCTTTCTTTTTTTGTGTGTGATTTTTCTTGTTTGTGTGTCTATCGGTGGGATGCTGCGGAGGATTTGGGTCTTGGTGGGTGAATGGGTGTCGGGTGGTTTGGGTTAGTATCTGTTGCTAATTGGTGGTTCTGGTTGGTGCGGGTGCTTGTATGTAGGTGGTGATAGTGATGAGAGGAGGGGTCTTAGTGGTTTAAGGAGTTCTATTGTTATGGCAGTGAATTAAGGTTCAAAACAGAGGCGGCTAGAAATGGGTTTGCAGAGGTGTGGCAACGAGGGTTGGATTGGTATATTTGAATTTTTTTTTTTGTTTTAATTTCAAGAAGCAAAGTCCGTGCATTTTAAAGAGAACAAATGAACCGTATAATTGCTAATCTAGCAGTAAATTGAGACTCAAGATAGCTTTTATATATAGTATAGATTATTGACATTCCATTTTATTGCACCTCAAGTTTTATATAGCAAGTAGTTTGTGACCAATTAAGTAATTAAAGCTTGTGCAATAGGCAATAGCAAACTATATACATATATTTGAAATTTTTAATCTATTCTTAAATCTTTATTATTTTTTATATTTACTCTGTTGAAAATGACATTATATTTATAAGCTTCTTCGAATTTATAATTTTTAAATGTCAATTTTAATAACATGTTAATGATCCGGAGGTCAATGGCAATAGCAAATTAATTTTAATTAACTCAAGATGTCAATGCCATCTCCCCTAATAAGTGGGATTCGACTCTTCTTCATTTTAGGTCTAAAATGGGGAGATCAGAACATGGTCTTTATCATGCCACCTCATCTAACAAGTAAACCAATGCCTAATATGTACCCACGTAATCCTAATTAAAAACTAAAAGAAAATAGACTTTTAGCTATGCAAATCCGGTTTCCACTGTTAAAGTATATGCTGACGAAAAATTTATGGTCATATTTGGTCCAAAAAGTTGAACTCCCTAAAAGTATTTTACTGGAAAAGAAAATTTCCGTTTATAGAGAGGTAACTCTTAGTGATGGAATTTTTTGTAAAAAAAAGTTTTAGCGACAAAATTGATTTCCATATGAAAACACTTTTAACGACAAAAATTTTTGTCAGTAATTAATCAATTCCGTCACGAAAGGTATATATACAATTTAATTATTTTACCAACAATTTTCATCCGTAAAACTTTATATATGGAAATTTTCATCAATAATAATTGTTAGCAAGGAAATACTCGTGTGCTAATTATAAAATTCTATCCAAAAATAATTAATAATTATCAACTAATAATTTTTTATATTTATAGACACCCATCTGTGTCCGGGGCCAATTGGATTATTTTTTTTATTATTATTGTTATTTTTATCATTTGTTATTATATTATATTGCATTGTGATTATATTATATATTATTATTATATATTGTATTACATTACAGTATATTATTATCATATTATATTATGTCATTATATTATTATATTATATGATATTATACTATTATTATTATTATTATTATTATTCTTTCCTTTTTTTTTTTGGTTGGTCATGAGGATTATGGTAACTAAAATCTTGAATTGGCTAAATCAGAAAACCCAATTTGCATATTCAGTAAGAACCAAATTTAGGGATTATTTTCAAACAAATCAACAAAAATTTAGCCTATGATCATTATTGGGTAGAATCCAATCCTAAGATTCAAGCCTCGATTGGTTTTGTTCGATCCCTAAAAATTCTCCTAAGGGTGGCTACAAATTGGATGCAAGACAATAAAATAAGGCATGGTTGATTTTGATAAAGAAAGGTTGGGTGTCTAAAAATTTTGGAAAATGTTTTCTAGAGTTAGGTTTCTCAAATTTTAGTTTTTGGAGTTTCTAGGTTCAAGAATTAGCTGGTAAGTAAAGTTTGGATTGTGGATTCCTGTTTTGGAGTGTAGGGTTGAAATTTTGGAGTTTGGAATAGAAGTTTAGATTTTTTGAAAATTTTTGGGGAATTTTTGGAAAATTTTTGGAAATCTAGGTTTTTGTATGAATTTTTGGATTTTTTGGTGATTTTTTCGGCAAATATTGAAGTTTCTGGTGAGATTCTGGCAAAATTTCTAGAAATCGGTGACCAAACCCAATTTCTAATGGTGTTCTTGGCTGGATTCTAAAGAGAGGTTAGAGAGAATTGGGGTTAGAGAAAGAGAAAGAGCAAAGGGTTTTGAGAAAAAAACACTAAAAACTGGCTTTTATAAGGTTTCGAAACGATGTCATATTGGAAGTCCCATACCTGGGAGCAAACCAGTCGACCCGCGTACAGGTTTCCCTTTTCTATTTTTATTTTATTTTTCGGTTTCATTTTCTTTTCATATGTCTATCTTATATTTTGATTTATATTTTATTTTATTTTACTACTTTTCTTATTTATTTATCTTCCTAAAGTAATTTATTTTTTGTTAAATATTTTGTAAAATAAAAAAATTCCTTTCTAAAAAATGATAAAAAAGAATAATTAAAAATAAAAATAAAAAATCTTTTTATAATAAATTTATGAATTTCACCAAACTATTGGAG